ATTACGAAGGACTTTTGGTCCAACGTGAATAGCGGGCTTCACATACAATGCTCCTCTTAGAGGCATCTGAAGCGCTTGAAACTAACAAACTAAATTCTAAAAGGTGCTCAATTCACTAAATTACAGGCACATGCGACTTGTCGACTTATGTCACAAAGTTACGGGTGCAGTGGCAGTGCCCTTCGGATCTTTGCGATTTAAAGATGAGTACTCATTAGCTGGAACTGTAACGTGACAGATACAGTAACGAGGTTCCAGTGTTTAGGCTTGAAACAGTCTTCACGCGTTAGATCGAGTAACCTGGTTATCATATGGTTCCTGCGAACCACGTACACACTTATTTTTGGTAACGTAACTTGCAGTGATTATGAATACACATTTTTCCCAGTGGGACTTGAACCCACGTCCATGCTGCACCGTAGCATTGCTCTTACTAACTGCGCTACGGATCCCGTTACTGAGCCATCAAAATTCTCCTATGTTTTTGTTATAGATCTTTGTACTGACTTTCGGCATTCGTCGCCGTGACTAGTGACATCTAGTGAGAGATTTTTGAATAACCTTCTCACCGCAGCCGATACCTTTACAGTGCAGTAGTTTCAGGTGCAGCATGGACGTGGGTTCAAGTCCCACCGGATCGACAACAAGTTTTTCTGTGTATTCGATATTTATAATCAAAACAAAACCAGTAAAGTTATTTCACAAATAACATGCAATGGTTACGGTAATAGCTCGCCGGTGAGTACTCGGCTTTCTGAGTGACACTGCAATTGCTACGGACAGGCGTGTCTCTTACCACCAGACGCGTGACTTGTTCGTTCCATCACTTAGTACAATAAAAATTAAAAAGAAAATTCCTAAGACCAGACAAACGCGTAGCATTATCGCTTAACATCAGATAGAAAATATGACCAAGCATTTCATTACGTTTTACATTACAAAAAAAGAAGTTTAAGAAAGTTGGCAAATTTGCGCTTTCTCTCATATACCAAAAACCTCCTAGCCCGACTCACTGTAAACCGGTTGTATATATTCTGTGTGCTACAGAGTTTGGAAGCAGTGGATCTATAAATTATATTTCATTATCAGATAAATTTCGAATGTCACCTTCGTAGCTTCCCGATAATCTCTGCATCTGTTATAATTATTATTATAATGATCGAACAACTACATCTTATCTTATCGATGGCATACACACTACATCATTGCCGCTACCCGCGTCACTAGTAATAGCCGCCATGCTAAAATATGGGACATGTTTGCCACCATGATGAAAGGATTTGGCCATTGTTGCCCATGGTGCGTCTGATGTACAGAGAATATAGTACGCCATTGCGAGAAGGCCCCCTTCGAGCTATGCAACTATCGAACACAAAGAAAAATAACTTGGATCTGACTGGATTCATATCAATGTCTATGTGTTCGATCTTTGTATCAATAATAACAAATTAATAGTAACTAAGTAATTAATAGATTCAGACGTTACCTTGCGGAAGTTCGTGTTAATAAAAATGGAAGTAAAAAATAAACAACACAAGCGCAACTACAATCACAAACCGCCACCAAAAATATACCCGACACGCGTTTCGCCTCTCCACGAGACATCCTCAGGGGTTGTTGATTGCTCGACGTTTGGCCGAAAATAAGCGGGCGTCACATTGTGGCAGGAATCCAACTGCTCGACCCTCAAGTCAGTATTGGCTTTCAACCGTATATACTCCACAATAACCGCAGACTTGTGGAGTAATGAAGTCGTGACACGTAATTCCCTATAGTTCGGATGATACATTGGCTAATTGGCCTATCTGGAAGTTTGTACTCTGTTCAACACACGTCTTGTTAGTAAACTTTGTTTGTTTGAGTTTGTCATATTTTACACACGAGTCGGAGTGGCGAGAAAAGAGGAGGGCCGCAATATGTACTACATGATCCTATACATGCGTGGAACTTTAGGAGAGAGTTTTAGCATAATATACGAGTATAAGACAAGTATGTTAACTCCGTCCATACACTACAGTGCGGTTTGTATGTGTGCGCCATCTATGGACGCACACTTTCGCATAATAGTGAAAGGCGCGTGAAACGACTAGCGTATGCATCACGAAATTATGCGAATGTGTGCGTCCGCACATGTCACGTGGTGGGTGCGCACCATAGACTTACAAAAACCCGGGAGATTCGGTTTGGCGCGATTCGTGTCGCCTCGATATGATCAAAATGCTCAGCATCGGGGTGACACGCCTACAAACATCGCCACAGTGACATGGCGATCGTTGTACGTACAAAATCTCTCGTAAAGCGTGATAATGTCAAGTTGTAGCGATACACCTTGTAAAAATTTGAGTGAAAACAAAAATTTCAAAACCAGTGAGATAACATTCCACCGGCTATTTGCATTTTTAGTTACTATTTCTATTATAATTCAATGTTTTCTTATTGTCTCCATAGAAATTTCTAGACTCAAATATAGTGATGTTCATTTACGATGACTGATGTTTATCGACAGTAAATTTTTACTGAAATGTTTGAATTTCTTTTATGATTTTTGTAATTAAAGTCCCTAAAATATCGAAGACAAAAGCATTCACCTTACATTGATTTCTTTTATTTTATTATTATTATTATTATTATTATTACTAAACATTTTATTTCGAGTAACTTTAACACAACTCATATTTCGACAAACGTTTCAATTTCATGCCAATTTGTATGTAACAGCAACATAAGAACGAACTTGAAGAAAAATGTATGTGTATTATTGTTTTAGATAATTTAGATATTTAAATTCCATTATACTCGTAGATTAAACAAAAAGTATTTTTAAATTTTAAGTTTTTCCAATGAGTACAAAATAAAAGAAAGAGACAGTGGATTGAAGCTGCAGGTAAATCGAAAGACTGGTTTTCTTATTATTATTTCTGACTTTATTTAAATTTCCATAGCAAATGCATTTAAAAAATAAAATAGGTTTTATTTTACATGTGCGTGCAAAACAAATTATAAACAATTATAGAAAATTACATAAATCCTTCATAAAAAAACAACATAATTTCATTTATTAAATTCGTTGATGGTTCGAGTTTACTTTTGACAGTAACAGTTTCACCAACTCGTGGTAACGTATAATGGAAAACTGACACTGGCGACGATCGCCATATTTTTTATATTATTCTTATAAAACTGACACTGGCCCAAGGCTGGTGGTCGCCATTAAGAAAATAATAATAGTTTATATTAATATATTAATTTAATTTAGATGAAATTTAGAAAACTTAAATGGATTTTTAAAACACTAAGATATGTAGTGCCAGGACCAGTCGCTGGTCCGCGAGTCTCATCGTCTAGGGATATACTTAAGGAAATATATGTGATTTTGGTTAAATCTGTATTGATTTATTGTATTCCTGTATGGGGTGGAGCTGCTAAAACTCGTTTTCTCGAGTGCAACGTGCGCAACGCAAGTTGCTTACAATAATGTATTTTTAAAAAAAGACGATTTGCCACTAGCAGTTTGTATCAACTATCAAATTTAGCCACTGGAAGGAAACTCTACATCACTCAAACTGTACTCAGACAATATAGGTCTCTAAAATATGATCTAAATATTTCGAAGAGGAGAAGGAAAGACATTGTGGTACAAGTACCTAAAGTAAATACAACATTAGCAAACAGACAATTCAGCAAACGATCGGCCCATTTGTACAATTTAATTAATAAGGAATTAGAAATATACGGCAAAAGTTATAGAGACTGCAAAAAAGTTATATCAAAATGGCTACAGTCCAAATCGTAAGAGGAAACCGAAGATCTATTAGAACACTTGCTTTAAAAACACTACTTTCCTAATCTATGGCAACATGTTAAAACGCATGCACGCACGCACGCACGCACGCACGCACGCACGCACGCACGCACGCACGCACG